ATCATTAAAACTTGTTCCAACCTTCGGAACACTCAAAACAACATCAAAACACCAAGATCACATCGGATTCAAGCCTAGGAATTCCAAAAACTTCCAAATTCCGCTTTCGATCAAAAAGTCTATCAAACCTCGTCCGAATGACTTGAGATTTTGCACACACGTTACAAATGACACAACGGACCTACTCCAACTTCCGGAATTCCATTCCGACCCCTATATCAAAATCTCACCTATCAATCGAAAATCGCCAAAATTCTAATTTCGCCAATTCAAGCCTAAATCTACTCCGGACCTCCAAAACACATTCCGATCACGCTCCTAAGTGCCAAATCATCTAATGGAGCTAACCAAATCATAAAAATTCCAATCCGAGATCATATACCAACAAGTCAAAACTTGGTCAAATCTTTCAAACTTTAAGCTTCAAGCTGAGAATCATCCTTCCATATCTATCCCGATTAACCTGAAATCCAAAACCGACGATTTACTTAAGTCACAATACATAATACGGGGCTAGTCATGCCCGAGTTATGATTTCCCTATTGTCTAGATTTATGATTTTCCTATTGTTGGAATCTTTTTCGCTACGTTTTCTATAAATTTGCCTAAGTTTTCTTTACCGATCATGAGGGCTCTGAGTGTTGTAATTCTCTCCCGAGTAACTACCACAATTTACTAGGCATATTCTCCCGAATTACGCCAGCTAGCATTAAGTACGACTCACTCGGATCGCATCAAGGTTTCGTTATCCCTGAGCCCACCTTTAAACCCTCCGTATTGATCCCTCATATACGTTAAGAGTGATGTTGTTCAACAACTACCTAAATACGCACTCTCTCCCGAGTAATACACACTAAATACGCACAGTCGATTGAGAGCTCTTCAACCAACCACAATAATAACTTAGTTGAACACATAGAGAAAATACTACATCAAATCTGTATTAACGTAGCAGGAAAATCATCCTCCAATAGGTTCCATCAAAACCCTAGGTAACAAATTAGCTATTCATAATAGTATGCATAACTAAATTACTAGAATTCATAACCAATAATGAAAATAGGAAGAAGGAAGTGAAAAACTCATATTGCTCCTAGTGTGTTCTTGCCTCCTTAGGTCGAATCTCTCGTCTCCTTAGCCTCCTTAGGTCTAAATTATGTCAAAAGTCCTCAAAATACTATCCTTCGATGTGTATATACCAAGTAGGGTCGGGCCCAAATAATTCCACCTTCTCCTACGCGAAAAAGGACACTTTTCTCGGACAGGACGTGCGCGGCCGCGGATCAACCGCACATTTTGACCAGTGTTCTGCCTGACATGAGCGGCCAGTGCGCGGACGCGCACTTTCACCCTTTTCTGTTGGGAATTGGAGAAAACATAAAACATGAAAGTTGTAGCCCTTTGAATTATCTTTCCAACCATATTTTGTGGAGCCCAAATGGAATTCTGAGTGAAAAGTTATGTGTATTTTATTAGACAGTGCGCAATATACCTACTCGATTCTTGGTTCGTTCTTAACTATCATCCGTTGATCCCCGACACGATCCCGGCTTAATTCCTTAGGCTTTTACTCAGACTTCAAAGCTCCAAATTACTTGAATTCATTCCATAACATTTATATAGCTCGGAATCACTCCTACAAGGCATAAAACACACAATTAGCTTAAAACACTAGCGATTAAAGCTCAAACTCAATTAAAGTGCAGTAAATTAGAGTGTAAGAAGCGACTAAAATACGTAATTATAGCCTGTCATCACATGTTTATGTTGTTGCTTACATGTAGAACATCTATGGATTCACTCTCGAACTACACATGCATTCTAATTGGCGGGATACAACCAGAAATCCTGGAAAGGAAAGAAGAGGATATTTCTGAGTTCTTAGTTTTTTTCTGTTCTTTCTTGGGGAGCATGTAATCTATGATATTCTTGTTCCTCTTGATGTTTTCTTTTGGGGATTCTGTATAGCATGTGGCTATCTGTTAAAAGGCTTCTACGAAATTTTTTTCGCTAATGTGCACAAACTGCAAGAATGTTTGATTACCATCGATCTGGAAAAAAATTGAAACAAAGAGGGAGGAAGATTGATGCAGAGGTGTTCGACAATATGCCTAAAAGAACTAAATACTTTCGTATTCAATTTCCTTTTTCCATGTGATCTGTGACATAAACATCTATCAAGAAGTATGCTATTGACATACATTAAAACGATTGAACGATATATTATGCATTGTATATCGTTTATTAAAGAAAAAATATATGTTTGAGATGCATTGGATATGCTTTCACGTATATGTCTATTGCAGTGCTGTTATTGTTTATCTATTGTGTAAAAAGTGAAAATTAAATATAACTCACAATTGTTTCAGATATATACTATTACCATTTTGTAAATACTACTCTAATGAAGTTATAACTATTTGGAAAGAATGTCCGCAAACAAAGATACTATAGATTTTAGTACATCGACTTCGATATAGTAAAGGAACAACAATAAAGTACGTATGTTTAGAGCAAGGGCGGTCCGACTAGTTTTGTGGTCTGAAGCCTAACTTTATGAGGGGCCTTAATATTTTTAAAAATAAAATTATTTATTTATTTGAAGTCTATAGCATTTCTTAGATACAAAGTTATTAATAATTTTCTTATAATCAATAACTCCTAATAAGTCTTTCTTAATTGACAATATAGCTAATCCATTTAACCTTTATTGAGACATTGTTGATCTTAGGTGAGATTTTATCAATTTTAATTTTGAAAATTTCTTTCTGCTGAAACGACGGAAACAAGAGTTATTAACATTATTCCATAAATAATATAAACATTGAAAAAAGAATCAATTTTTTTTTTATTTGACCGAGTGTATTAATTAAACCGTTATCTTCTAATTGTACTATTTTTCTTAATATTTTTAATTCTGAAAATAAATCTAAACCATCAATATCGAATTGATTAGTATGCTTTAAGGAACATTCAACATTAAGGCAATATCTTTTCAAATTTTCATCATCTAGTGATCTTAATTTTTACAGCTAAATAGAAAACAAAAGATATTTTCATATGCTACTAACTGTTCAACTCTATTTGGAAATGAAATAAATAGCCTCGTCTATTATGTATAAAGTAATCAACTCCAAAGGACTCTTCGAAAAAGTTTGAGATTTTATTATCAACATTCTCATCTAATTGTTACTTCCTATATATATCATACGTTTATTATGAAATTCGGGTTCGATGTTCATTTCAAGTGCAATTTTCTTAGCAGAAATCATAGCAGTTGCAAATCCTTCTTCTCTATACTAGTTAAAGAAAGAAATTAAACTTTTTCACTTCACAAAACCTTTTTTAAACTTAAACATAGCCTATAGGGGGAACAAAAAATGGGCCCCCTGTAAATGTGAGGCCTAAAGCAGTTACTTTAGTTGCTTTATGGAAGGGCCACCCCTGGTTTAGACGCTTTACCTTTTGCTTATTTTAATATTTATTACATAAAATTTGTGGTTTATTTTTAAAACTTTTGAACAATTTCTGAAATATGAACAATAGTCTCTTTCTTTATGAGAGGCTTTTTCCTAAGTTTTTGATTGGTGATTTCTAACCTTGTAGAGATGCAGAGTAGGAGTTGGTGGAAAAACTTTCGGTGAACAGGAACAAGCACTTCGGTAATATAATTACTGATAAATGTTTCATTCTTTTATCAGGGGACGCTAGGCATCGGACTCCAAAAAATTCACTTTTTTTTTTTGTGTCCTTGGAATATCTTAGCTTACTGATTCTTCTTCCGCTATATAAATTGTGTATTTATGTGTAATGCTTGCATATGACTTGCGATTTTTTGAAAATAAACTGAGATTGCAACTTATAAATGTAGTATTCAAGTTTATAAACTACCCTATGTTGCTAAAAATTATCGACATTAACCTTCCAGTGAAAACTTTTCTTGAAGCCACCAGAAATCTCCTATAATAAGTGGCTCTAAAAAGTATTGGACAAAAACTGAGATTAATGAACAGTTTAAATGGTACTCCCTCCGGTCCAAAATAAGTGATTTTTTTAATGTTTTCACACAAATTAAGAAATCTACCTTTTAGCATTAATTAGCAATGGAATTGACCATATTAACCTTTACTATCTCACATAAACACTCCTAACACATATTCCAACATCATTTACTTCAAGGACAATGTAGAAAAAAAATAATTAATTCATTCTTGAAATCTGAAAAATCACTTATTTTGGACCACAAGAAAAAGGCCAAAAAATCACTTATTTTGGACCGGAGGGAGTATTTAACACTTATAAAAGTCACATGTCTTAGTAGCATAAATAATTTTTGGATACCGATTTTACTCTGATTTTTTAAAACCAGCAGATCTAATAGACGCAACCTATTTTTTTTAGGAGTCTGTTTGGAAAGCCATGTGTAATTACTATGGCCTGTTTGTTTGTCATGATGTAATTACAGTGTAATTACATGTGTCATGTTTGGTTGTACAAGTGTAATTACATAGATAAAATAAATATTTTTCAGATTAATTTGTAAATAATTTTCACCGTATGATAAATACTTATATGTATAATAGATATTAAATTATTATATATTAAAAATGTATATTCTTTTATAAGAAAATATATTAAATAATTATAAAGTAATACATATTATTATAAAAATAATTGATATCTTCCATATAAATAATACTGTAACTTAAAAGAGAACAATGAAAATTTCAATAACAAATCAAAATTCTTCACCAACTCATTTGAATAAAAAAAAAGATAGATATGAGCTTATAAAAACAAATCATAGTTAATATTTATGTTATTGATTAGAAAACAAAATTAGTAAAATATAAATTGTTTTTTCGCAAGTCTTCCTCATACAAAATTTTCATAACAACGATATATATAAAATTTCATCTAATTGATCTAGCATTCCACATTTGATGAGCTATTCCATCTCTTAGATTGCACATATATTGTTTGTCAACATCAGTCGGGCCTCATCCAAGTTCTTCATCATCTGAATCTGAATCAATATCATCCAAATTATGGGAATCTTCTATTTCCTCTTCCATGTGCTCTTCAAAATATGCATCTTCCCAGTTCCACNCTTCAAAATATGCATCTTCCCAGTTCCACTTGCGAATAAAATTGTGAAGTATACAACATGCTAGCACAATCCAGCCTTGTTTTTTGATACTATAAGGAGGAGGAGGAGTCAATATAGGAAATCTTTTTTTTAAAACAGCAAATGTCCTCTCCACCACATTTCGAAGTTTTGAATGTCTTAAGTTAAAAAGCTCGCGAGCATTTTGTGGAGCTTGTGTTTGGCTCCATTCCCTCAAATGATATCTTACTGCACGATAAGGTGCTAAAAATCCCTTTGTATTTGCATAGCCTGCATCAACTATATAGTATTTTCCTACAAAGTTACAAGTACAAGTTAAATATTTAAAAAAAGATAATAAAAAATGAATAGGTATATGAATTATTTGTAAATTACCAGTTGGAATTTTCAACTTATTTGGTGATCTCTCCTGGTGTATGTTATTTGCTGATGACATAGTTCTAATTGACGGGACGAGGGCCGGTGTTAACGAGCGATTGAAGGTTTAGAGACAGACTCTCGAGTCTAAGGGTTTCAAATTGAGCAGGTCTAAGACAGAGTACCTGGAATGCAAGTTTAGCGCTGAGTCGAGGGATGTAGGCGGGGATGTGAGGCTTGGGCCACAGGTCATCCCCAAGAGAGATAGCTTCAAGTACCTTGGGTCGATGATTCAGGGGGACGGAGAGATCGACGAGGACGTCACTCACCGCATAGGGGCGGGCTGGATGAAATGGAGGCTTGCATCTGGAGTCTTGTGTGACAAGAAAGTGCCACCGATACTCAAAGGCAAGTTTAATAGAGCTGTAGTTAAACCAGCCATGTTGTATGGGGCAGAGTATTGGCCGGTTAAGAACTCTCATATCCAGAGGATAAAAGTAGCAGAGATGCGGATGTTGAGGTGGATGTGCGGGCACACTAGGATAGACAAGATTAGGAATGAAGATATTCGGAAGAAGGTGAGTGTCGCCCCTGTGGATGACAAGATGCGGGAAGCGAGACTCAGATGGTTCGGGCACGTGCAGAGGAGAAGCCTCGATGCACCGGTGAGGAGGTGTGAGAGGTTAGCCGTTGTGGGTACGGGAAGAGGTAGAGGGAGACCTAGGAAGTATTGGGGAGAGGTGATTAGTCAGGACATGGCACGACTGCACATTTCCGATGACATGGCCCTTGATAGGAAGGCCTGGAGGTCATGCATTAGGGTTGTAGGATATGGGTAGTAAAGCTTTCCTTACTTCATTTCGGGGGTGAGGCGGGGTTGGATTAGGGTTGGTCTTAGATGTCTTGCAGTTTATGTTGGACCCACACTATTCTTGTTGTTTGTCTTAGCCCCGGGCCTTAGATTATGGTTACTGTTATTGCATGTCATTCATCTTTCGGTTTTTATGTTTCTGTTATTATTACGATTTCCACTGGATCGGAAATAGCCTCTCTGCCCCTATCGGGGCAGGGGTAAGGTCTTGTGACGACCCAAAGGGGTCATCACCTGTATTCCTACTCCCTCTGTACTTCTGAGGCCCTGGAAACCTCACTTGGGGGTTGCCTCGACTTGTGTGCGCAGTCCGGGCGCGTAACCGGAAAGTTTACATGTGAATTTGTGAGAAAAATAATAAAATTTGATGTTTTAAATTGATCGAGTTTGACTTTGGTCAACGTTTTGGACAAACGGACCCGGACTCGTGGTTCGACAGTCCCGGAGGGTCCGTAGGAAACTTTGGGACTTGGGTGTGTGCCCGGAATCAAATTCCGAGGTTCCAAGTCCGAGAAATAAATTATTGTGTGAAATAGTTTTCTGAAAATAATTAAAGAATTTGAAAGTGTTATTTGTTTAGAAGACTGTGCTGTTGGGCTCGTATTTTCGTTCCGACGCCCAGCACAAGTCTTAAATATGAGTTAAGCAATTGCTGTGAAGTTTGGTTAGATTTGGAAGTCATTTGATGTGTTTTGAGCTAGCAACAGTAAAATTTGATGTTTCATGGAAATTGGAAGGAAATCATGGATCTTGAGGCCTAATTCGATGTTGTTTTGGCGAGTTGATCGCATGGATGAGTCCGTAGGATGTTTTCGGAGTTGTGTGTATGTTTGGTTTGGAGCCCCGAGGGCTCGGGTGAGTTTTGAGTGGGTCCCGGGAGGGTTTTAGACTTAAAAGCATCAGAAATTGCAGGTCCAGGTGTTGCAGGCCCCCAGCGCGGCCGCGATCATTTCTGCGAGGTCCGCGCTGGAAACCGCGCGGCCGCGGTGCATTTCTGCGCGGTCTGCGTGGCTAGGTTCAGAGGGCCAGTGAACTCTAGGTCAACCAGCGCGGCCGCGCACCAAATCAGTGCGGTCCGGCTGGATAGGTTCAGAGAGTCGTTTTCCCTCCCTTCCTCGGCGCGGCCGCGGGGCATTTTTGCGCGGTCCGCGCCAGTCCTTCAGCAAAGTATATAAATCTGAGATTTTCAGTCATTTTGCACTTTTTCAAAACCCAAAACATAAGAGGCGATTTTCCAAACGATTCTTCTCCTTCAAAACGATTGGTAAGTGATCTCTAACTTATTTTCCTTGCTTCTTAACATCTTTAAACATAATTTCAACTTCAAAACAAAGATTTTAATGGGGGAATTTGGGAATTTAGGGTAGAAATAGGGTTTCACAATTTGGGGGTTTTGGACCTCAATTTGAGGTCCGATTCCAAAATAACTTATATATGTGAGTTCATGGGGGAATGGGTAGTCGGGTTGTGGTTCGAACCTCGTGTTTTGACCACGTGGGTCCGGGGGCATTTTGGGAAATTTTGAGTAAAACTTTGGGAAATTTACTTTTCATGCATTCAATTTATTAGATTAGCATTTGTTGATACACTCAAGTATTTGTGACTAGATTCGAGCGGTTTGGTGGTGAATTCGAAGGGTAAAGCGATACTAGAGGCTTGAGTTTAGTTGGAGCATCGAGGTAAGTGTTTGATCTAACTTTGGTTTGAGGGAATAGGATTAGAGTATTATTTGCTAATTGCTAAATGTTGAGTACGGTGTATAGGCATGGTGACGAGTATCTATACACCGGTGTCTAGCATGACCGTGAGTCCTTGCTTGTGCTTATTCGGGATTCTGTAGTGACTCCTTCTTGTTTAATTGATGGACTCGATATAATGTTAACAATATGAAGAGGAAAAATATGAATTGTAAACTCCTTGGAGTGTTGGCTCGAAATATGACACGATTAAGACGTAAGAAATGAACGAAAGAGGAAGAGTTGTAATTACTCCCTTGCCGGGACGTGTAAGTTAATGTTGTTGCTCCCTTGTCGGGATTTAATGGTTTATTTGTATTCTCCCTTGCCGGGGTGGTTGAATTGATGCTTGTTCCCTAGCCGGGAAATCCTTATATATTATAAAATGGGATCGTGTGGCACACCGACCACTTATATATTATGAATGGGATCGTGTGGCACGCCGACCACTTATATATTATGAAATGGGATCGTGTGGCACGCCGACCACTTATATATTATGAACTGGGATCGTGTGGCACGCCGACCACCTAGATATATATATTATGAAATGGGATCGTGTGGCACGCCGACCACTTATATAGATTATGAGATCGGATGTGGTTTCGTGTTTACTTCTGATAAATTGTGTTCATCTGTATTTCCCCTAAGCATGTCCCCTCCCTGCCTTAGCTGGTATTTTCTGTTGTTATTTCATTGTACTTGTTTATACATATACACCTGCACAGGTTGTTTTTGGTAGGTCCTGTCTAGCCTCGTCACTACTTCGCCGGGGTTAGGCCAGGCACTTACCAGCACATGTGGTCGGTTGTACTGATGCTACACTCTGTGCATTTTTGCACAGGTCCAGGTATTGAGCAGCAGCAGCAGCATTAGCACGGGGGCGAACCTTCAGTCCAGAGAGACCCGAGTTAGCTTGCAGGCGTCCGCAGGCCCGGCGTCTCCCGTCTATCTTTATATTTGGCTGTCATCTCATTGTACCCGTGATAAACAGATTATGCTTCTTTCATACTTTGTATGTAGTACTCCTTAGATGTTCGTGAGTATGTGACTCCAGTCCCGGGGTAGAGATATATGTGTTGGAACTTCTGTATTATTGATCATCTATCTACATTTAAGTCTTCCGCTTATGATTTTAATTCCGTCGCCTTTATTTAATGCTGTTAATTGTTAAAAAGGAATGGGTGTTTAATGAAATTGCTAATTAAGTTGGCTTGCCTAGCTCTCATTAGTAGGCGCCATCACGACTCCCGAGGGGGGAAATCCGGGTCGTGACAGGCCTGCGTACACATTACCCTCCCAGACCCCACTATGTGGGACTTTACTGGGTAGTTGTTGTTGTTGTTATTTGATGATCTCTCCCAAATGGCATTTCTTAATACTCTAGAATCTGAAGCAGAGCCTTCCCAACCAGCAAGCACGTATTGAAAATTCATATCAAAATCTACCACAGCAAGGATATTTTGAGAAAGAACTCCTTTACGATTTCTATATCTTGGTTGATCTTCCATAGAAACAAATGCAGGAATATGAGTTCCATCGATAGCTCCAATACAATCCTTCAAAAACTTATAATAGTTTTAAGATATTGCACAAATAATTAATAATATTGTTAACAAGTGTAGAATGTAATACTAAATACTAACCTTGAACCAAGGATAGAAAAGTGGATTAGACGATATCTCTTGCGGGACACCTTTTCCTGCTTGCTTGACATAGTATTTTCCTAGTCGTAGACAAGCTTTCAAACACTTGTTAAAATAACGGCTAATGGTTTCTCCTGAATGCTGAAAACGATTTTGTACGACTATATTCCTTTCATTATGAGCTAATGTAAACACAAATATGGCCATTTGTTCCTCAACTTTGATCGTTCTTGAATCAGTTAATAGACCTCTTGTTTTCATCTCATCTGCAAGTTGTAAGAAACATCCAACATTCATACGTAGTAGGTCATAGCATCCACGGAAATGTCCTTCAATCAAATCTTTAATAAAATCTGCTCTAGTTAAAATTGAGCGGTACACTCTTTCTTTTGGTCCAATCCCTAAATATTTTCCAATAATGCTAACTAAAAGCACACATTTTGCAAGAAACATCATGAATTGGTCTTCTTTTGCCATCCTATATGACATGAAAAAACTAAAATTTACAACTGTAATAGCATAAGAGAAAACATAATGCTTTAAAAAACAAATAAGACAAGCGTAGGTCCATGGAGCTCATTGTAGCAATTAATGAAAAAGAACAAAATAAGAAGAAGCTATATAAAGTATTGATTGTCCATTGATGGATTAAAATCCATGAGTTTCACATAATATATAAAGCATAAGCAAAAGTAGAAGGTGCTCATGTCTGCCGCTAATAGTTAACATAATCCAAAAGAAAATAAGATACTAATTTACAACTTCATCCGAACAACAAAAACACAACGTGCACTAACAACATCAATCATATAATCCAAGTTTGTGCATGACCCATTTCTTTCTAAGAGGAGGAGCCATAGCAGCAAAGAATTCAACATTTCTCTCATTTGTAAGGAGATCGATAACTCGTATACTCCATGCGTCGTCCAATTCTAGTTCCATTATCAAAGGCATTAATTTCTCCTTAAAAGTATTTTTTGGTTCATGTTGTAGCCTTATTTGTTCTTTAGCTATGGCTGTCCATCTATCAACGAATTTAGCCAAACTAATTCCAATAGAGTTCCTAATTCTTTTGGGACGAGATGTCAAAGTTTGTTCCTCAGCTAACCGTCCTTTTCCTGCTCTCTTATCTTGACCAGTTGATTGAGTTGTTTTAGTACTCGTGAAACTTATGTTTTGATCAAGATATACATGATCAATAGACTGCGCATCTTCAGAAGCAGGTGTAGTAATTTTTTCGCCAGTTATCTCCTCATCAGAAAATTCATTTTGAAAATCCTCTGTATTATTAATTTCACATCCATTCCTACCATCAACGACAATATCTCCAAAAATCAAAGCCAAAGTATTATAGTCTGGCAACTTTTTCGTCTTATATTGAGCATCTTTTGGGTGAGTCTATAACATAACCAATGTTCTTAATTAGAGAAACAAATAACTTATATTCAAAATTTAGCTACAAAAGGAAAAAAGAATAGTATGACTCACTGAAAGGTATTGCTCCCAAACATCATCTTCGGCATCAACTTTTCGAGTTTCTTCATTCCACCTAAATCCACTATGTTGCACCATTCTCTTCATAGTAGCATAAGATTTCTTCAAGGTTCTCATCCTATTTTTCATTTTCGTCTTATCTAATTTGTCCCCATATTTTTCTTTTTACACAATCTCGTCCCTCGGTTGTTAAGCCTCCTTGTTGCGTTCTTCCTAGCTTAACTTGTTCAGCGATAAAATAAATAAAATATATGTCTTGAACTTCACTCCATTTGGTGTATGGTTTTCCAACATTAGGTGTTTGGTTAGTTGACATCCTACATGAATATAATTATATAATTCGGCAATATGTTTATGAGATTCATATATGCATAATCAAGCTAAGTCGGGCAAGAGGTAAAGGTATACGTGGCAGAATATGAACAAAACATAGTGATTCATCTCTATAATTGCAAAAAAAAATTATATGGGGAAAACTTAATGGCATAAATTAGGAAAAACACAAAGATTTCTTTCCACACACAAATAGTATCACTTTTTTATTTTTTATACAGATATACTTTTTTCTCTTTCCAATATAATACACTACACAATATGGAAACTGAATATGACAAGAAATGGTATTTGTATGCATTAGTTGTGAAGTAGAAATGATCTGTGAAGTAGTAAAAAATAAATTATTCTACCCAAATTTCACCCTTCTAAAATAGAAAGGTAAAGATTCCAACAGTATAAGTCCAGGCAACGTGAAGTTATGGAAATAATATAGTTCAACAGAAATCAACTATTTAGAAAATATGAAATACAAAAGAAAAAAAAAAGGTTACCTGGAGCAGAACGATGCTAGAACTGAAGAAGTGAAGTAGAGATGTTTTGGTTTTTCTACCGTCTTTGTTTCCAAAAAGAATAATATAATATTGAAAGAGGAAAAAAAAGGAATTGGAAAGGTTGCCTTGTAATTACATCATGTAATTACACCCAATTCTTTGCCCCCCTCCCCTTCCCCCCATGAGAATTGAAGAGTGTAATTACTCTCTCTCAATTACACCAAATTCCTTACCAACCAAGTAATTATTTGGTCAAACAAACATGCCAAAGTGTTTAATTACACCCAATTACAATTTCCATGTGGTTTTTCCAAGCATGCTCCAGAAGGATTGAGCATTAGAGATTTGTGCTGGGTTCATTTCGAATTGTCCTTTTTATGATATGGTAAGAAGGAACTTTATTCTATGAGTTCTCTATGAATAGTGCGGCATACCTTCAGAAATCAGGGATGCACGTCGGACTGATATCCAGATGCACCTGCCTCAAATCCTGCACATTTAATGCAAAAGTGTAGCGTGAGTACATAAACAACATGTACCCAGTAAGTATCCAGTCTAACCTCGAAGAAGTAGTGACGAGGGGTTGACTTTGACACTTACTATGGGCTAACAATGAAATGTCAGAATTAAAACAAAACATGGATTATATAAATATAGTTGAAAGCTAAGTCACAGGAAAATAATAGGCAATCCTCTCACTAATAATAAATCTCAAGTTTGTTTCCATCATTTAACAATTTATATCTCAAGAAAATGAAGCAATATGTCACGAACCAATTTTATTATAGGTTGTGATGGCGCCTAGCGCCATTGCTAGGCAGGCCAACAGTGAACAATCTTGTGATTTTACTTTTATTAGGTTTTCCCTGTAAATAACTTTCCTTAATTTAAAAGATTTTATAAATAACAGGTTTAAAATAATTAAAACGAAAGCAGCTGAGTGCAACCATAGAAATAAAACCAAAACCACAAGTCTACTAGTGTGTGTGCCAACACCTGGTGTCACAAGTGTATGGGCTACTAGTAGAATATACAAAATATTACTACTCTGGTGTCTGAAATGAAATAGACAGAACAATAAACAAAAGAAAGACTTCGGCTGCTGCAGAACGGCTCAGAAGGGCAGCTCACCGTGTAGTCTCGTAATAGGGATCAAGTATGCGCGCCGGACTGATATCCAGATGCACCTGCCTCAGATCATGCACATTAAATGCAGTAGTGTAGCGTGAGTACATAAACAACATGTACCTAGTAAGTATCCAGTCTAACCTCGAAGAAGTAGTAACGAGGGGTCGACTTTGACACTTACTATGGGCTAACAATAAGATGTCAAGATAATAACTAAGCATGGATAACATAAATATAACAGAAAACTCAATAACAAGAATAATAAACACCTTTTCTTCCGCTAAGAGTATATCTCAAGTATATTTTCCATCATTTAACAATTTATGTCTCAAGTCAATGAACAATATTAATTATAATTGGTTCCCAAGATTTATCATGCGCAAGTTATGCCGAGGTCGTACGACCCGATCCAACATAATAATATTTAAACTGTACACTGCCGAGGGGCGAACGTCACGAACCATAGATGCATCTATCTGCTAGCGAGGCGTTTAGCCCGCTCCACAAATAGAAAATGCTTTGAAGAAATACAAATTCTCAATAACAGTCAAGTGTTCCATTCACAACTTCAAGTAAGTGAAATTTTACCTTTTACGATTCTTTTATCAATTTTTAATATGACTTAGGCAATTAAATGAACAAGTAGGGTGAAAATATTTCAAGTATAGCATGATATGGGTCCTAGACTATCCGGACAATAGCATAATTAGTAGCTACGTACGGACTATCGTCACATCGTACGTACGTAGCCCCCACAAGTAGGAGCACATATTAATTAATTCACCTATGGGGTTAATTTCCTCTTACAAGGTTAGAAAAGAGACTTACCTCGTCTCAAAGCCTACTTTCCTGTCCAAGATCGTGCTCAAACCCTCAATTCAGTGCCGAACAATCCAAAACAATCGAATAGTATATAAACTAATCAATACATGTTCAAAAGTTCATATTTTAACTATTAAAGTGATTACCCAACCCTAAATGTAAGGTTCCTAAAATTCACCCCCGAGCCCACGTGCCAGGACTCTGGAAATTTTCGAAGAAAGTTGTTACCCATAAGCTCATGAACCATAATTTTTACTAAATTCCATAACCAATTTCGTGGTTAAATCCCACTTTTATCAAAAACTTAGGCTTTCCATCTAACCCATAAATTCTACAAATTAATATGTTAAAATCTACCCATAATCTATGTACTAAACTCACATTAGGCAGAAATTACTTACCCTCAATAGCTAGGTTGAAATCCCACTTTTTGAAGCTCCAAAATCGCCCAAGTGTGCAATAAATGAACCCAAAAATGGCTAAGTCCCAATTTTAAAACACACTGCCCAGCTGCCTCCTTCTTCGTAACAAGCCTGCGTTCACGAAGGCAATGGCCCAGGCCCATGAATATTTGGCCTATGCGAACGCGACAAGGATCTCGCGAATGCGAAGGCTTACCAGCCCTGTCCTACGCGAACGCTAAGGCACCTTCGCGAATGCGAGGGCACCTTCGGCAACGCGAAGGGCACAACACGTGCGTTCCAACAGAGAGTACCGTGCTTCGTAAGGTGTGAACTTCTTACTCAAGTAGTATACGGCTTGCTCCTTTCTCCCTGTCTCATCATGTTGCCCCAGAACGCATCTCCATCCAATACAGATAGATAGAGTAGCAAAGGTCGTCCCGGCTCTGGCGGGACCAAGACCGGTGGCGTGGACAGGTACTCCTTGATTTTGTCAAAAGCTTTCTGACAATCCTCGGTCCAGCTTGTCTCGGCATCTTTCCTCAGCATCTTGAAGATGGGTTCACATATGACTGTGGACTATGCTATGAAGCGACTGATATAATTGAGATGCCCTAGGAAGCTCATCACGTCATTTTTGCTTCTAGGCGGCGGTAACTCCTGAATAGCCTTGACTTTAGACGGATCTAGCTCGATCCCTCGACGGCTGACAATGAATCCCAATAACTTTCCAGCGGGAACCCCGAATGCACACTTGGCGGGGTTTAGTTTCAAGTGGTACCTCCTTAGTCTGTCGAAGAATTTTCTCGAGTTTGCTATGTGGTCTGCGACCCTCTTGGATTTGATAATGACGTCGTCCACATACACCTCTATCTCCTTGTATATCATATCATGGAAGATGGTTGTCATGGCTCTCATGTAGGTAGCCCCAGCATTTTTTAGACCAAATGGCATCATCTTGTAGCAGTATACCCCCCATGGTGTAATAAAAGTTGTTTTCTCCGCGTCTTTTTTGTCCATCCAGATCTGGTGATAACCCGCAAATCAATCTACAAAAGATTGGAGTTCATGCTTGGCGCAATTATCGATCAGGATGTGTATGTTTGGCAGTGGAAAGTCGTCCTTGGGACTTGCTTTGTTTAAATCCCGATAGTCAACACATACTTTGACTTTCCCATCTTTCTTCAGAACTGGCACAATGTTGGCTAACCAGGTTGGGTACTCAACCACCCTGAGAACTTTGGCTTTGATCTTCTTAGTAACCTCCTCCTTGATTTTTAGGCTCATATATGGTTTGAATTTTCCGAGTTTCTGCTTCACTGGCGGACACATTGGATCGGTAGGTAACTTGTGAGCCACTATGGACGTGCTCAAACCGGTCATGTCATCATATGACCATGCGAAAATGTCCTCATACTCCCTTAATAAACAAATGTACTCTTCTTTCTCTGTTGGCGATAAGTGAATGCTCATGTGATGAGTCTCTTTGATGGTCTCGGCGTCCCCCAAATTTACTACTTCGGTTTCGTCCAGGTTGGACTTAGGCTTATTCTCAAAGTTTTCAACCTCCCTAACGACCTCCTCGGGTATTTCATCCTCTTCATCTGAATCACTACCCCCATATTGTGTTGCCTCATTACATGTCACAGTCATCGGTTCATCAGGAAAAGTAATAATAACGCTGTAGAAAGAAAATCTGGAAGATAATAATAAATATTAAAGAGCAATGCATTTGATTAAAACTTGAAAAACATCCAGACAAGTACGGCTCGATGAATCGAGCATTTATTTTGAAACAAGTAAGTCTTTAGAACAAAAATTACTGAAAATCTTAAATGCCTAGAATTGCAATAGAAATAAAACCTGCCAAGCTACCCAGGGACTCGGCGGGCCCGGGATGGTGTGGCGGTCCAGTTCCTGAGAACGGCTCCCTTCTCCATTGTCTGAATAG